GCGACGACTTAAGCCCCTTGGCAGCGTTTTTGTTGGCCCAGAGCAGAGACCCTTGTACCCCGCATCCTGTCCCATCTCCCCGCTTGCCTTGACATGAGTGTGCAAAACTTTTTGCCGAGGCAAAAGCCACTCGCAACTGAAACCACTTGGAACAAACCGTTTGCCATGAACGCAGGAGATGGAGGACTGGGGGGCAGAAAGGCGCTGGCGAAGAGTGCCACTAATGTCTGCTCCAGTAACTAACACGAAAGTAAGGCTTGATTTTGGCCAGCCAAAGGCGAAGCATCCTTGTCACATTTACCATATGTGTGTGGTTTAACTACAAGGAATATGTATTTATCAGGGCTGCACAAATGTCACAACTGCCACTGACAATTTGGTCGACAATCAAATTGCGGGTTTGCTTTGGTTCTGCGGTTAAAGTGATTATTTTTCAGCAAGCGTCCTCTTGCTACATGTTTTTATCAGGTCTGAAAATCTGTCACAACTGCAAATTGACTCACAAAATTTTAATGCAATTTCTTTTTTAGGCAAACTACATATATAGGCGTAATATTTTTATAGCAAAGAATCCTTATAAACGTTTTAGATTCTCTCTAATTCTAATACCAAACTAAGTGGAGTGGGGTGTTTTCTTTAAAAATTAAAGAATCTGAAAGATATTTTCAAGTAGTGTTGTTTAAAACACTTTACAGACGATACGCATAAGAACATTTCTATCTATGTAATTTAATTAAAATTTTGTTGATTAAATGTCAATACATTCATTAAATTCGGAAAAGATACTCAGTGCGGCATTCGGCTCAGGTCGAGCTCGTATCCCTGGTCATATATATATATATATATATATATATATTTATATCTACGGATGTGGATTGCAGGTGTCCTTGTCTCGTTGTCGTCAGCGGGGCTCATTCGTCTCCCATCGGTGCACACAAATTGCCAAAGTTGCGGACATTCTCTGGCATAGGCAAAACTTTCGTTCGCCGCCCGTTGCTGGAATTAATTAAAATACAAAATGGCCACAAAGGCGATGGCGGGCAATCCAATCCGTGACAGGATCACAACCGGATGTGTGTGCTCCGGGGGGTGAGGGGTTTTGGAGTGTTTCTCTGCGTTTCGGAGGTCAGTTTCCCCTCTAATCGTTTTGCTGCGGCTGGCACTTCCATCAAACACGCTTCCGCAGTGCATATCCTGTTTGTAATCGATTTGGAAATGTGCAGCAAGGACATTGTCCGGCAAACGACGAGAAATTGAGGAAGCAACGCAAAGAGTTACGACCGGGCGCAAAAGAAAAGTGGAACAAAAGTGGAAAAAATTAGCAATAAACGTAAGCGCACGCGATTTCCTGCCCACTCACCCAAACTCCTCCTGAAAAGTGCTAAAATCAATAAAATGCTTGTTGCTCCGACACAAGAAGTGGCAACACCAGAGGCAACAGCATTTATACAATGCCAGCGACGTCGCGACTTTTCCCCGACATCTTTCAATGTACAATTATATTGGTTGGCTCCAGCCATGCCCCCCGCCCGCAACCCCCTCCGTAATGAAAAGGGGTACTTCGTCGCTGTGCAACATAAATAGTTGCGTTTTTGCCTTCCTTTTTACGTGCACGGAAAGAAACAAAAACACAGCTCAATTGTAACCAATTTGGCATTTAAATTAAACTAGTAGCGCTAACAAGGCCGTCAAAGCTTTGAAGCTTTACAAAATATGTTGTTACTGAACTCAGTTTGTATTGCAAAAAATTGTGGGCTGTACAATGTTATAAAAAAAAACATTTTCGGGTTCTACAAACTTTTGGAAACTCCTCCGAAGTATCAAAATCATAATATTATGATGACTTTCATCTATAGGGATTTATGTGGCCTTGCCAAAACGTATACCTTAAGGGGCTAACGAAGTTGTCAACTGATTGTCTGACCCAAAGAAATCTATTCATATTTCTCTAGAAAAAATCCAAAATTACCTCCTTGTGTTTTAAAATCTCTTCTTTTATTTTCCAAGGTATCAAAACATTATCATAATATTATATTCAATCAACAGGGATATCTGTGGCCTTACCAGAACAAACTGATCTGATTACAAATACTTTGAGGGGCCAACGAAGTTGCCAATCTGAACTTGATATTACTATACTTTACTCTCAGTGTGTCACATTTTGCGCTGTGCCAGCGAAAATGCCGGAAATTCTTGGGCTGGGACCGGGTAGTGTCCTTCAGTGCCGGCTCCTCGTCAGCTCCTTGCGCTGCTCCTGCCGCTGCTCCTTGTGCTTAGCTTCGTCAGCGCCATAAATGGCTGCAAAAATGTAAATAGAGAAGAGGCGATAGGGGCAAAAGGGGTGTAATGCGGAGCACATTGCTCGTTACATGGTGGAGATTCCTGCCAGCGAGCGAGTTATTATGACAAACTTTGTTAATTGGAAAATATTCGTCGAAAATGCTGGCTGGCTGCCGCAGCCACATTGAATTTACAGGATACATTCATCGCCTGGCCCGTGCCTTTGGTTTTTCGGTTTCTGCGGTCCCAATGCATTCGACAAGTTTGAGCTTCGCTATTTCTCCGTCCTGTTGGTGTGGCAAAGTTTGCTTTTTTGAGCAAATATTTGCGCAGATGGCATCAGTGGAAAGTAGATTAATTCATTACGCTGCCAGCAAGTTCGTTAAAACTATGGCCCAAAGATAGAGGAACTTCGGCTTTAAATAGTTGGTTACGCCAACTTGTGGAGTTTGACAAACCGCTTATGGGTAACTTTATGACAGCTGCAAACGGTTGCCTTTAAGCACGGCGAAATGAAGTAAGCCATGGGGGGAAAGTTGACTGCCGGACATTTGATGTCTCTCTTTACGGTTGGTGTTTTACATGTGATTTATAGCTGCGAAACGCGCTGTCTCAGGACATATGTCTTCTTTTTTTGTTTTTGTCTCATTTCGCCGTAATGTGCCGCTCTTTTATTTGCAACATACAGAAGTATAATGTGACCCAGAAAAGGGGCAATAAATTCAGTGAGCGGAGTGGGACGGAGTATCCATTGCAGTCGATGTCGAGGTGCCTCTTCAACTTTGGTCTGATCATCTTGTGGGGTTAAAAATTGAAGCAGCTCTTGCCAAGGCAATCCATTGCAGCCACCATCATGGCAATCCTCATCGTCATCGCCATCATCAATTCGTCCCTGGACTTGATGATGGTGACCGAAGCCAATTGTACTTGGCGAGGCCAAAAAGCAAAAAGCACCATGGGAACGAGTACTAGTCAATGGCCTGGTTGAGTTGCGAACAGTGAGAGAAATTAAGCTTAAGCTTGTAGCTTGGATATCTTAAGATGCATTTCTAAACAAGGTAGTGCACAAATCAGAATTATGCTGGACTTTAGCTTATGCATTTTATTTATAAATCTAAAAACAATATTTTGGGGTTACCAGATTAAAGGTTTTACTTTGTTTCAGGAGCTTTTGCAGTACGAATGTTCAGGTTAGATTTTAAATAAATATCTGAAAAAAGCTTAGATATGGAAATAAGATTTACTTCATTGTGAATGTTAAGCTTATATAATACAGTGACTTAAAGTTGTTTTATTATGGAATTTATAACAAGTGTATTTTTAATGGCGCATGCAATGATATTCTTGACTATGCCTGGCATTTTTATCCGTAGTGTTGGCGTGAAGTAGACACGATACTCGTCGATAACAGACTGGGACGTGTCCATGGCCAATCCTCATGACGGCATTTTATTGTTTGCTGTCGGTCTTTAGCCTGTCGAGTATGTAGCTATATATGTATGTATGTGGATTTTCCGTTCGAGTGTTACTCTGTTAGGGCTAGATCTGCTGTGCTGCCATCCGGTTTTTCCATATTTTTTCCGTGCCCGGTCCTCGTCTTTCCGTATCCTTTATATAATTGTGAGTGCCAGCGATTATGTACACGCAACTATGACTTTAACTGCCGCTTGTTGTTTCAGCAGTCGGTACTTGGAGTCCGTCGAGCGTTGTTATTGTCACGGCTGTTTGGGGCGCTGCCCGTTGCCATTGACAACAGTGTAGTGGCTCGGTAAACACCCCATTCAACCCGTACAAACCGTACAAACCCCTCCCACCGCTCACCGCCCACGTACACCAGTCCAACCACATGGCTGCATACATCGTGCACTTTCCCCGACTTTCCCGACACCCACATTCACACCAGCACAAAGTGTGCTTTCAATCAGGCACTGAATTGAAAATCCATTAACGAGTACAAGGCAGAGGCACTGGCGCCAGCTGGCACTGCCAATGGCACCCACTGTTTCTGCGAGGGGATCGGGGCCGGAAATCGGCCACCCAGGCGGGTTGGTCCGCCAAACCATCCTGAGCTATATATTTTCTTGAACAATAAAAACGACGCACACAAATTTTGTTTCCTTCTGTTCATGCCTTGCTGTTGCAGTCAAGGACACTTTCGCAGGCCAGTGAATGCAATTGTAACAAACACTGAAGTGCGAAGGGGTGAAATCACAAAAAGCGTTTATTTTAAATAAGTAAATAAATATGCAAACTTTAAAGATTTGTTGGGATGAGGGCCAGAACACAACTGAAAGCTGCAATTATAAATACACTTACATCCAGAGAAAAACGGCAAAGTAAAATTAAACATTAAAATTTTTGAATGTACGTTGTTTGTCAAAATATAATAGTACACAAAATATACCGAAAACATGGTAATGTAATTATTAACATATTTAATTTGTTTCAATATTCTTTAATTTCAAATCTAAATTGTTTAATATTAAAGATAAATATGTTAGTGTAAGTTAAACAAAACACCGAAAATATTTATTTCAAATCATTATTTGGATATGCCATGTTTTTTCTCTGGGTGTATACCAAGGCTCTTAGGAAGCCATTAATGGGAATAATGTATACCATTTCCAATACGGTTCATAACTGTGTATTATTTCTTAATTTTCCAAAAACGAAACTTTATTCCTACAATCTAAAATAAAAAACGCGTTTGTTTCCCCAAGTGCATTCAATAAGAACCGAAACGAAGCGTAAATTCAAATAAACCAAAGACTAATCGAAGCCAAAAATCAAAAGACCGCCTCGAAAATGTTGACCTGCGTGTGTCGACCCGTCTCCGGCAACCTGCCCAAGATGCCGCCCGCCTCCCTGATGCCCGCCCACAGGGCATCGTCATCATCATCGACAGCCTCCTTGGCCTTTGTCAGTCCCACGCGAGGAGTGGTGGTGACCTCCGAGCCCAAGCTGAATGTGAGTATCCCGGATCCCGTATCTCGGATCCCGTATCCCGGTATCTTTGCACCCACCCAAGGAGCAAATCCAATCTGCGCCACAACAAAAAGCCGAAATTAGCTTAAGCATAACTTGATTTATGGCTGACCACGAACGTTGACAACTTTCAGTTTGACTTTTGAGTTTTCCCAGGGAGGGTTTTCGGTTACGCCTCGGATTATAAATTGTGAAATTTCATTTCTCACTTCTGGCTGAAGGTGGAGGTGGAGTTGGAGGTGTCGGTGGAGATGTAGCTGAAAGTGGATTTGGGCTGACACACACGCATCCACCTCAGCCGCTTATTACGCTAACGATGCGAAATCTCAGCCTCAATCTCATTCCCCAAATCTCTTGGTCCGTTGCAGGTGCCCAGCAGGCTGACGTCAGCCGAACTGAGGGCGATGGCATTGAGACAGCAGCAGCAAATCGACAGCCAGCACCAGCTGCTGGCCACCAAGGAGCAGCGCCTGCGCTTCCTCAAGTCGCAGGAGGTGCGCAGCGCCGTGGCCAGCGCGGAGGGCGAGCGGCTCCGCCGCCTCAGGGAGCGGGTGGAGGCGCAGGAGTCCAAGCTGCGCCGCCTGCGAGCGCTGCGGGGTCAAGTGGACTTGCAGAAGACCTACAATGTCACACTGAGTGAGTACATTTGCAAAAAAATAACATAACATTGTTCACTAAGTAAAATATATACGTTAAAGATCTTATATCTAAATAGCCTAAGGGTATACCAAGTGCAAGGGATTAAGTTCGGTTTACTCATCGTTAATTAGTGGTGGTTCTTAAAATCTGTACATGCGGAATTAATATAAATTCGGATGTAATGTATTTGTTTGAAACACGAATAGTACCTGGTATGGAGGGTATTTAACCACAAACAAACAAGAAACCTGTTACCCAGTTAACCAATTTCAAAATAATAAACAAACCGCATTACCTAACCGCGTTTTAGTTGGTGCCATTGGCTTTATAAATGTACCATAAAGCCCACATTTTGAAATAAAACTGCTCTGCCTGGGCATATCTAGAATATACACTTTAAATCCCAAATCTCTAGCTTCTATAGTTTTCGAGACAGACGGAAATGACCAGATCGACTCGGCTTTTGATCCGGATCAATAATATATAGAATTTTCAGGGTCTTCCACCAGTTGCATACTTTCATCGTTAATCTACGAGAAAATGCGACTTAAGTTTAAGCTGAACCAATTCATAACCGAACTCAAAACTTATGTAAGTGACAACCATTTAAAATTCGAATCTAAAATGGAACACTTGTGTTAAGTAAAATTATGTTGTCTTAAGTACTATGTTCGTGTTACCAATGGATTAAATAATATTAATCAATTATTTAAATTCCTTTAAAATGAGAGAGCAGTTTTAAACATGTATTATCTGAAATCGAATAAATGTATGTTTTTCCCCTAAAATGTTAAAGCTAAATGTTTTACAACTTTTGTGCAGTGCAGGGAGGAGAAGGAGGGTTGGCTCACGGACAGTGGCGAAGTGCCACCAAGTGCATTTGCCTGGGTTATCCTATCCGGACCTAAGCTTCTCCCTCAAATTGAGTTAAGCACCGCCGGTTGAGTGGAGAAGAGGGGCTCTATGGGTGAATTAACATGTGTTAAAACCGTGTTGAGTGGCGGCCGGCCTCCATGGCAGAGCAGCCAATTCCCATCCACTCGCCCCTCGCGTGTGTGAATTTAATTTATGTATGTGTGTGCCACTTTGTTGTCCTTTATGATTGCCTGTGGGCGGCAACAATGCCGCCTGAACATGGCTAAGAAGATGTTGGCCCGCACACTGGCACACTGGTACACACACACACATTTCCATACAAGGGTATTATGTTAATGAGCTGGCGCCCTGTGTTGTGGCTGTAATTAGTTTGAACAGGCAGCCCAAATCCACGAAAGGAAAACACCGGCGACCAGCAGGCGGCCGGCGATTATAAAATAGTTAGTGAAGGAAAAGGCATGGATCGGGATAACATTGTTGATTAAGCTGAGCACTCAAGGCAGAAGCACCTACTTTAGTGGGGAATCAAATCCTTAACTACAGATTTGCCGCAGCTGAGTTTTAATTAAGATTTACGAAGGTACCTTAAGGCAAAAACAAGATTACATATTATAGTCCTGATAATAGGCATAATCACTTTTCGGGTTGCTCTAAGGGTAGACCCAAAATATATGGCAAGTAATGTTTACTGAGTAATTTTATAAAGTAAGCAAGGATGTTTTGTTAATTTGAAATGATTTCTGCGTTTTCAAAACAATATATTTTAACCAATTTGTATCTTCAGGCAATGACTTGGACTCGATTCGTGCCCTGTTTAGCGAGAAGGAGAAGGAGCTCAGTCTGGCGGTGGCCAAAGTGGAGGCCCTAACCCGCCAACTGGAGGACCTGCGACGTGACCGTCGATGTCCTGTGAATATCCTGGCAGCCGCTGGCTCCGCTGTTGGCCAGGCCCTTCCTCCCCAAGCATCCCGCGAACTGGAGAAGCTGCGACGCGAGCTGATGGTGAGTGAAACGCACAGTGCAACAGCCACTAATTGGTGCAGAGTTGTTTATGTTTATTTTGCATTATCATTGCAGTACCGCAACCAGTTGTCGCTGCAGCAGGATGCACGGTTGCACATGCAACGCGAGGCCCTGCAGCAGCGACAGGCGGAGCTACGGTCCGTGGACCAGCGTATTTACGAACTGCAGACGCGCCTGCAGCGCAAAAAGCAGGCCAACACCCATCACCAGCAGCAGCAGCAACATCAGCAGCAGCAACAACAACAGACAACCGTGCAGCAGCAACAGCAACAGCAATTGCATGTTCAGTCTGCTCAATTGCTGGCGGCAGCAGCAGCAGCAACTGCCCAACAGCAACAACAACAACAGCAACACCAGAAGCAGCAACAGCAACAGCAGACTTTGGCCTACCAGCAACCTGCCGGCAATCTGGCCAAACACGGCGGAGTTGCGGCCCTCAAGCAGCAACTGTTGCAGAAGCAGGTCAATCAACTGGCAGCTGCTGCCGCCGCCGCTGCCGCCGGACGAGCCCGCGGCAATGTGGCCGCCGTCGAACCCTTCATCCACACGCCCCAAAAATCGACCATCACGAGCACCGCCAGCTACTTGAGTGGCGGAATGAAGCATGCAGCGGCCACGGCCAATACCAACCAGCAGAATCAGCTCATCCAGGATCTGACCCATGTCAAGCTGGGCCAGAACAGTGGTTTCTTTGCCGGATCCGTGCCCGTACCCGTGCCGGTCGCCAGTTCGAGTAGCGAAAGCGACGAGTCCAAGCTGGCCAAGAAGCTGCTGGCGGGGACGGGTGCGGGTGCGGTGACGGCTCCTGCGAAAACGGAGGCCGAGTTGCGCAAGCAGGCGCAAACGGAGGCCATGGATAGTACCACACATATCTACGCGGAAGTGGGACCCAAGAAACGAGATCGAGAAGCAGCCGCAGCAGCAGCGGCAGCAGCAGCGGCAGCAGCAGCCGCAGCAGCAGAAGCAGCAAGTCAAGCAGCAACTGCAGCACCAGCAGCAGCAGCCACAGGAGCAACATCTCCACCCGCCACTGTGAATGTTAGTAAAATCCCCAAGAGCATTTCCTCGAGCAGCGCCAGCAGTTCCGCCTCCGCCTCCGCCCTGATAAGCAAACTTAACCAGCAGGCCACGTCGAAGGAGAGCCAGGAGCAGCAGCAGCAGCAGCAGCAGCAGCAGTTGCAAATCAAGAAGAACGAGATTTCGGTGACCAGTGAAACGCTATCCGAACGCAACACACAGCAGCAGCTCACCGTGCACAGCATGCCTTTGGGGGCGATAAGCAAATCGGTGGCCCTGGCCCCCGTGCCCAATGCCTCCAAGCCGCTCCAGGTGCAGGTGGGCAATCTGGCGGTGCCGCCGCGCAAGCCCATCAGCAGTGTGGCCCCCAATTCGGTGAGCAGCAGCAGCTCCATACCCAAAATGATCACCTACAGCCCGAAGGTGAACCGTGTGGCGCCCAATGTGGTGATGGCGGATCCCCGTCCAGCCCTGCCGCCCAAGCCCAGCAAGATGTCGCCCACGGAGCAACCATCGCCAGTGGAGGCCAGCACATCGGCAGCCACGGGAGGTGGAGTTGCGCCAGCATCAGCGGCACCCAAGCCGCTGGCGGCGGCGACCTTTGGCCTGCAATCGCTGAACATCAACGACAACTTGCCCATCAAGGCCAAGCCACTGACCATCCGCAAGCAGCCTCTGTTCGAGCAGCCTCGTCTTAAGTTCAGCCAGTCCGGCCAATCCGGCCAATCCGGCACCAATGGCCAACAGAAGCCGCCTCCGATGCAAGTGCCAAATCAACGGAAGTCAGAGCCTTCACTTAGACAGCCAGCGGAGGCCTTGAAATCCACGCCGGACACCTCACCCCAGCACTCGCCGAGCAGTGAGTCCAGCGCGGACGAAACGGACCGCATGGTGCCCCCAACGACAGGGGCCAGTCAGCAGGAGACGTCAACATCCGCGTCAGCTACTCTGACGGCCACGACAACCAGCAACATTAAGGAGCGAACGGGCGGAAAACCCAAGCTGGCGCGACGGGTGAGCTTCGATCCTTTGGCCCTCCTGCTGGACGCCAGTCTCGAGGGCGAACTGGAGCTGGTCAAGAAAACGGCCATGCAAGTTGCCAATCCCAGTGCGGCCAACGATGAGGGAATTACGGCTCTACACAATGCCATCTGTGCCGGCCACTTTGACATTGTCAAGTAAGTGACATTTTCTTTCTGCCCTTTTTCTCTCTTTCTCTTTTTTTTGTTCTGCAATCCAATTAATCACATTTTTTACACAGATTCCTGGTTGAGTTTGGCTGCGATGTGAACGCCCAGGACTCGGATGGCTGGACGCCACTGCATTGCGCCGCCAGCTGCAACAATCTGTCCATGGTCAAGTTCCTGGTGGAGAGCGGCGCCTGCCTGTTTGCCTCCACGTTGTCGGATCACGAGACGCCAGCGGAGAAATGCGAGGAGGATGAGGAGGGCTTCGACGGCTGCTCCGAGTATTTGTACAGTAAGTACACTAGTTTGGCCCTCTGGGATTATTAGGAAAAGACCAACACGTATACCCGTTGCTTGGAGGTTAAGAGGGTTTATGGTATTCGTTGAAACAATATCTCTTTCAATGGATGTAAGCGTTTTCAATGCATTGATTTGTTCAAAATCGAAGCTTTATTTTAAAAGTTATTCGAAAAGTAGGTTTTAACTATGACGGGGTTTGGAGAAAAAAATCACTATCTCAAAAGTAATGGATTCAATTTTCTGTTTTTTTACTCAGCGATGTTTTAATCGCTGCTCACACGCCTTTGTTACTTCGCTTCCCGTCCCACACATTTGTGCTTCGGAACTCCAAACTTCAAAGTATTGTACCTAAATCAATGTTGTTACCTTAGAAGTTATGTGTTATATATAGATTAAAAAGTCAACCCAGTTATATTTAGAGCCAAGTTCAATTCTTACTTGGGGATAGAATATTTTAATTTTTTTGTAAGCCTTCTGCATTACAACACAGTAATCGTTTTTGTATCAAAGACGTTTCCTTGATCTGTAGGGAAAATTTTACTGTGTGTTTTTAATAGAAACACCATTTGAGTTAGAATAACATGTTTTAATGTCGTTTGATTACAAATAAAAGCTGCTGACCGAACAGCGGACATGGCTATTTTAAAGTAATCCAGATTGTAATCTATTTTCAACTCATTACTAGAGGTAAAATAATGCATTCGTAATCCATTTTGCAGTGGCAATTTTCCGGTATATTTAATTTGAAACAGGTTATCTGAGTAATTGGTATCCAACAGTCGTTTCACTCGACCATTGCGTTCCTTTTTGTTTATTTATCTTTTCTAACATTTTCCCCTTGATTTACAGGCATCCAGGAGAAGCTGGGCATTCTGCACAATGGCGACGTATACGCCGTGTTCTCGTACGAGGCCCAGAACGGCGACGAGCTCTCCTTCCATGTGAACGAGCCGCTGATCGTGCTGCGCAAGGGCGACGATGCCGAGAACGAGTGGTGGTGGGCACGGAATGCCGGTGGCGATGAGGGCTACGTGCCCCGCAACCTACTGGGGGTGAGTAGCCGATGAGATGCCTTCACGTACGCAGGATGGGAGGGGAACTAAGTGCCAACTCCTTTTTCACAGCTGTACCCACGTGTGCCGCCGCATTCGCCGCACTTCAGCGATTAGCAGTTAATACGCTTCACCATACTGAAGCGCAAGGCCGGTCGACTCATCCAGAAGCGCTACATATCCAAGTACATCTAGGAAGCAGGAGCTGGATTTCTAGCCGATTCTGGGCACGTGCCACCGCAGGAGTCATCGGGGAATTATTTATCACAGCCCCATGTTTCTTTCTGTTTACTTTTTGTTTGGAAAAAAGCAACACAAAGGACGAGGAGCGAGGAGCGAGGAGCGAGGTGGTGGCCCACCCATATGCCCAACCATATGGAATGGAGCCGACTGCAGCAGCTTCCGCCTCAGTCATTTATCCCGACGACTGGCCTCAATTAGCCCAGCTCTCGCCCTGGGTTCAGCACACATATCACCCACAACCACCCCCTGCATACGTACAACCGCAAATTGAATTTCACTTAAGCTCCTTAGCTTTAAGGCCTAGACTAATAACTCATATCAGCCGCCTGCTCGCCACACAAACTTCACCTTCAAGTTTCTGCAGAAAAAAGTTCAAATTGGAAAATGGAAAATTTGAAATTTGAATTTTGAAATTCCTGGCTGCCCACACACACAGAATGTTTCATCTACGGCTAGCTGAAGGAGTTTGTTAATTGCATGTATCAAGTTAGTACTTAAAACTTTAATTGAACTCGTTCGAGTTCGAAGGTTCACACAAATCGAAAGAAAACATTTTAACATAGATAACAAAAACTGACACAAGGAGAATATATAACGAATCGAATGTGATTTTTGTATAAAGACGAGAATAACTTAAACAATTTGTATCGAATATGGAAATGTAAATTACATAAAGCGGATTCGTTGACAAGTAATCGCATTATAGGATATACGTTCTAATTTAACTTAATTTAATTATATTGTATCGATTGCTTAATACCTAGCATTTAAGGACAAACACATTAAAATGCAAATACGTTTGAAAAATGAAAAAAATAAAACGATTCAGAAAGCTTATTTGGAGGTGATGTGCTTTTATTTCGTTCGGAAATCGCTGGAATTTCTCGGGCCCCGAAGTCTTGTACTCAAACATATACAATTTTCAGAATTCCATCGTAGTTAAAACTATGATCGAATTGCGGCTCAAGTTCAGTGTTCATTTAGAAGTGCAAACAGTTGCATCTATCATTTCTCCACGAAGCAAGTGAAAAGCTTTTCAGGCACGCGAACAGACAATTTAATTGTCTCCTTATATCAGCGTCGCGTAACTGTAAGTACTGATTACGTGTTTCAGATGCTAGATGAAGCCGTTCGAGCATTAATAACCTTATCAAAAGTAAGCAATTTGTATTTCACAAATGTCGACAATCTTTATTGAACGGCAAGCGCTTTCCAGTTGTTTTTATTTTTTGATTATTTTGTTTCTGTAATATAATCTTAATTGTTTTCTACTTAAACATGAACTTTGAGCCGAGTTAGCATCACCAGAGCAAGCGAAAATAGCTTTTAGTTTTTGGCGCTGGCTAGAACGGTGAAGTCGACTTTATAATCTCAAGAGCCACGGACCGATAGTAAACAAAAACTGGAAACAGGTTGTTGCCAAGAACAGAATAAGTGGAACCTGGATTTAACAAATAACATTGGATTCATAAGTTCTTAAGTTCAGTTAATGTTTTAAGGATGCAATTTATATTAGTATTTTTCCTGCTCCTGGCTGGAACTTTGTATTCCGAGCTAGAATTAGCTGAGGGATCCAAAATACTGGCCGTGTATGCCTTTCCAGGTATTATGGTATTTGCATGCATAGATATATTATAATTTCTGACCACATTTGTATTGTTGGCTAGGCAAATCGCATTTTATGATGCACAATGCTTTGATAAGAGAACTCGTCGAAAGTGGCCATCAGGTGACCATGGTAACTGCCTTTTCTTTAGAGAAAGAGCAGCTGGGCAGCAACTACACGGAGATCTTGATAGAACCGGTCTACGATTTCTGGCATGATGGTAAGTGGTGTTTTTTTTTGTGAAACATCTGCCGAATCATCAGTCATCATTATCGTCTGGAACCAGTTAAGCTGAACTTCGGAGCCCAGCACTTGTTCGAGCTGACCCGCATGAACAACTATGATTTTCTGAAAATGCTAGAGATTATCGGGCTTAAAACCACGGAACATGCCCTCCGACAACCCGGGGTTAAGGCTCTCATTCATGCCGAGCAGACGGACGGTGTATTTGATCTCCTCCTGGCCGAGCAGTTCTATCAGGAGGCCTTCCTGGCCCTGGCTCACATCTACAAGATACCCGTGGTGACCACGAGTACGTTGGGCTACGAGAACCACATGAGCCAGATGATGGGTCTGATTACGCCTTGGTCTTTTGTGCCGCATGGTTTTATGCCCTTCACCGATCGAATGAGTTTCCTGGATCGGGTGCGCAATTCCTATGTATCCTTCTATGAGGACATGGACAGGTTGCTCAACTATTTTCCCAAAATGGATGCTGTGGCCAAGGAGTTTTTTGGCCCCGTTTTGGGTGAGTTGCAAAGTTTGTTTATTAATGAACAGAACTATAATAGGTGAATTCTAGATGTGGTGCCAAAGGTCAGGCACATGGAGCGAGAAATCTCAGTGATGCTGCTTAACAGTCACGCACCGCTGACCACGGCACGTCCCACGGTGGATGCCATGGTGCCAGTGGGTGGCATGCACATCTATCCACCCAAGGCACTCCCACCGGACATGCAAACCTTTCTGGACGGGGCCACCGAGGGGGCCATCTTCTTCAGCCTGGGCAGCAATGTCCAGAGCAAGGATATGCCGGTGGAAATGCTGAGACTCTTCCTCCAGGTATTCGGTTCACTCAAGCAGCGGGTGCTGTGGAAATTCGAGGACGAGAGCATTACCCAGTTGCCGGAAAATGTGATGGTGAGGAAGTGGCTGCCGCAGGCAGATATTCTGGCCCATCGCAACGTCAAGGTTTTCATCACACACGGCGGACTGTTTGGCACTCAGGAGGGAGTACACTACGCCGTGCCTATGCTGGGCATACCCATCTACTGCGATCAGGTAGGTGTTAACGTCATCTTAACACCTTTCCAGATACTTATTCAATTCTACTTCTATTCCAGCACCTAAACATGAACAAGGCCGTTTTGGGCGGCTATGCCATTAGTCTGCACTTCCAGTCGATTACGGATGAGATCCTCCGACACTCCTTGCACCAACTCATCCACAATTCCACGTATAAGGAAAACGTGCAAAGGGTCTCAAACATATTTAGGGATCGTCCGCAGGAGCCCCGCAAAAGTGCCGTCTATTGGATCGAATATGTCATCAGGCATCGAGGAGCTCCCCATATGCGATCCGCTGGCCTGGATCTCAACTGGTTCCAGTTCTATCTGCTTGATGTAGTAGCCTTTGTGGCCGTCATTGGCTTGACCGGCATCCTGGCCCTCTTATTTGCCATTAGATTGCTGATGGGCAGTAACAAAAAGCACAGGAAAGTTAAGAAAAACTAATTTGTTCGAAGAATTTATTTAAACGCTCTTAGGAATTAATATTTGAAGGTTGATTGGTAAACAAAATGCAACAATATCATAATATACTCAATAAACGTCTTTAAACATTGTACTTAATCTATTTTGATAATAAATATATAAACTTAATAAATAAAGTATTCAATATTTTTAACTGATTTACATTACATTACAAATATTTTTGATTTATGAAATATTTGGATCTATATCTTTTATAACATAAGTGACTTAAACGACAAAGAAAAAGAAACAATAAACCCAAAAACTACATTCCCAATCATTATATTATGCTTATTATTACAATCTTCCTTGTTTTCAATTTCAAAAGAACCATAATCATGCTTTCATAAAATTTGGTGGTCTCCATAGATTACAAAAACGAGACGTCTACCTCGTTTTCCGCACGAGCCACACTCAGATTATTAGTTTTGCCAATCTCAAAGGGTCTCTTGACATACATTTGCTACATAGAGCCCCACAAAACGGCCTATCAATACCTATTCGCAGTCGTTTGAAAATCGTTCAGCGAGCCGGTTGTTAATTGTTCCTATCGTAGAGCAACAAGCTGAATCAAAATGGTTTGTTCACGTTGTTGTAAATAAATAGATTAAATATCTGAAAGCTTTCCAAGCTTTTTTCAATATTGTCAATGAAACTCTTTTAGTGGTTTTTCAATTGACCGGAAAGCATATAATTTTTATTAAATTAAAATGCAAAATGTGTTTAGAAAATAATTCTACTTGTTATTACCCCAGATTATTTGTTAAGTAAAAGTCAAGACCTCCAATGAAGGGCTGACTGATAAGATAATGTCAAAGGCAGATCAGTAGCACACATTCATAATGCTTACATTTATATTTTACAGAAATGTAGAAATGGTCTGCACTTTTTTCTCTTGAGCCTGGTCGCATTTCAGCAACTGGACTTCAGTGACAGCTCCCGCATTCTGGCAGCCTTCTTTTTCCCTGGAAAGAGCCACTTTATGATGACCAATGCCATTATCCGGGAGCTGGTAAAACAAGGGCATGAAGTAACTTTCATCACTCCCTTCTCCTTGGCTAAGGAAAAACTGGGCACAAACTACAGGGAAATTGTGATTCCACAGTACGATTTTTGGCCAGAGAGTAGGTAAAGTCGCTACAAAAAATGAACAAATTAATAACATTCTGTTTCCCAGTTAAGGAGATGAGCAATAAAAACAGCATTCTGGAGATGACTGATTTGCCGAATTTCACCTTCCTGCGGATGGTTAATGTGATGGGTGCGCACAGCACTGACTTTGCGTTCGAGCAGCCAGAAATTCAGGCCATAATCAATGAGAAGAATAAGGTTGGCAAATATGATCTGCTGTTGGCAGAACAGTTCTACAACGAGGGCGCCCTCATTCTGGGACATCTGTACCAGATTCCCATCATTACTGTCTCGACATTCGGTCATGCCAACTATCTTAGCCAGCTATTTGGAATAGTGTCTCCCTGGTCCTACGTACCGCATGCCTATATGCCGTACACCGATCGCATGACACTGTGGGAGCGAATTGGAAATGTGGCCATTAGTGCCGCCGAGGATCTTAGCAGGGAATTCTCCTACTACCCCAAACAGGATGCCGTCCTTAGGAAACACTTCTCCAAACTTCTCGATAGGGTTCCAACTATAAAAGAACTTGAGCGGAATATCTCGGCTATTCTGTTGAACACCTACATGCCGCTTTCTTCGGCCAGACCCTTGTCCTATAATATGATCTCAGTGGGAGGGCTGCATATTCAGCCCCCAAAGGCGCTACCAGAGCACCTCCAGAACTTCCTGGATGGAGCCACACATGGGGCTATTTATTTCAGTTTAGGTAACTGTGTTGCGTGATAGATGCAATTAATGTAATAGTGCAATAATAACAATCAAAACCTTCATAGGCTCACAGGTGCGTAGTGCCGATCTCCCGCCGGAAAAGCTGAAGATTTTCCTAGAGGTCTTTGGCAGTCTAAAGCAGCGCGTTCTTTGGAAATTCGAGGATGAAACTCTGCCCAACCTGCCGGCCAATGTGAAGGTGCAGAGTTGGATGCCTCAGGCAGACATCTTGGCCCATCCGAATGTCAAGGTGTTCATTGCTCATGGTGGACTCTTTGGAACCCAGGAGGCGATGTACAATGGAATCCCGATACTAGGAATGCCCGTCTACTGTGATCAGCATCTGAACATCAACCAGGGCAAGAAGGCGGGATATGCCCTAGGTCTGGATTACCGGACAGTCACGGTAGAGGAGCTGCGAGGAATGCTGCTGGAACTGATTGAGAATCCCAAATTCAGGAATAACATGAAGAAGGCTTCACGGATATTTCGCGATCGACCGCTTAGTGCTATGGACACGGCCATGTACTGGATTAACTATGTGATCGAGCACAGAGGAGCTCCCCACCTTGTGTCCGCCGGCGTGGAGCTTCCCTGGTACCAGTTCTACCTGCTGGACATTGTTGGGCTAGCTCTGGCTCTCATTCTCCTGCCAATCCTGGTTCTAAAATCCATCTGCCGAAGAAGTTCCAAATCAAAGAGCTCTCCAAAGAAGAAGAAGACCAAGAGGAATTAGAACCAAAACTTGTGTTTTATTTTTGTTAACAAAAGAGGATACAATTATGTTAGATAGATTTGTGCAATAAATTTTGGATAATTTCGTAATACATTTCTAGGGCACTAGACAGCTGGTAATTGATAACAAAGCTAACGAGAAGCGTGCAAAGACCGCTCGCAACTAACTGAGAAATAGGTCAGGAGAATTAGCTTGGGATCTTCGCAGGGCCTTTCTGGTGTCTTCGGGCCTTTTCTTAAGCTTGTTTGTGATTGATGTGCCTTGTGTTGTGTGAGTGTCATGAGTGTTTGAGTGTGTTTCAGTGTGGGCTTGCGGCGATCTCTACTGGCTTATGACCATGGACTTCTTTACCTTCTTCTCCTTCCTCTCATGGGTGATGGTCACTTCCTCTGCGAAAGAATGAGCAATGATTTGAGAATATGATTTAGTGGAATTGGTAGGGTTGGCTGGGTTATGCCCAGTATGCTCACCCTCGAACTTGGTGGGCAGCTGCTTGATCGTCTCGATGGTCTTGACGTTCTTCTCACCGGGCTCGATGATCTCCTCCTCGTACTCCTCGATGATCTCCTCCTCGTCGGTGTCATCGGGATTGGCCTTGTTGCTGGGCACGGGATCGAACACGGTCTTCACGGCCTTCTTCACGATGCCCTCGGCTGTCACGGTTGTGTAGTGGTACTCGGTGCCACCTTCGATCTTGATGGTCTCCACGGTGGTCACGTCGCCGGGGTTCTCGGATGGCACGATCTTCTTGGTGCCCGACTCGGACTTCAGCTTCTTAGTGGTGGTCACGTTCTTGTGCTTCTCGGCGTCCTTCAGTGTCTTCTTGTACTGTCGGATCTCCTCCTCGGTGAGCTCCACCTCCTCCTCCTCGTAGACGGTCTTCGAGGTGGTGATGGTCTTGCCGGACTCCAGCTCCGTGGAGTAGGTGTACTCCACTCCGCCGGGCACTCGCTTCGAGGCAACAGAGGTCGTGTCGTTTTGGAAAAAGTCAGCGGGTGGTGGTGGAGCCGAGGACTTGGGCTTCTTCTTCTGCTTCTTGCCACTGTCGATGGTTGAGGTGTTCGAGGTGGAGGTGATGGCCTTGACATTCTGCTCCTGCAGCGAATTCTTGCGCACGGTGCGGTTGTTCTCGGTGATCTCGATGTTCTGCGTCACGGACACCCTTCGCTCCGAGGTGGTGGTGGTGTTGGACTGCTGGTCCTGGTAGTTTTGCACCACGTTCTTCTGCTGCTTCTGGACGATGCGGCGGGAGGACTCCGTGGAATCGGTGGAGTCCACCGACGACTTCCTGGTCACGTTCTTCTTGTTCTTGTTCAACTTGGCGGCGGTGTTGTCGTCTACCTCCGTGGGTACCGAGTCGTAGAAGGTCTTGGTGCGCATGCTGCGGGTTCCATCCTCGTTGACGGTGGTGTACACCTCCTCGTAACCTCCCTCGATGGCGCGGGTCAGCATGGTGGTGCGCTCATCGATGCGGATCTCCTTGCCGAGACGCTTCTGGACCAGCTTCTTGTTCTGCTGCTCCTTCACCAGGTCCTCCTCGCTAACGGGCTTCGGGTCCCAGAAGGTGCGCACCTGGGTCTTGACGGTTCCATTGGGCTGGGGGCTGGTGGTGATCACCTCGTAGCCACCCTCGATCAGCTTGTACGTGGTGCTGGCTCCCGTGGCCTTGTCGAACTCCACCTTACCATCCTCGATGTCCGCGGAGGTCAGAAGCTCTGTGGTGTGTGGATGCATTGTGTGTATAGTATTTGGTATATAAGGCTGTATATAGCGACCATCCCAAGCTCTCGAGTGTGTGTTTGCGTCTAGGGTTATCCAAAGCACTTGCGGCCTAAGTCTAGTATTAGCTTTTGTCTTATCCTACGCTAAGTCTATGATATTGCTTTGGTTTCCTTAGTAAGGCAGCCTGGCAATCGGGTTAATCAAGTGGCTCTTAGACGATTTCAAAAGCAGTCGTGATTATATGATAATTATTTTCCTAATTTATATAGTTTTAGGTAAATTAAGCCAATTAACAAATTTAATATTTAATAATTTCTTAATTTTGACTATCTAATTTAAGCATCAATGTTCGAAAAATTAAAATTTCAATCCTAATCCTATCATATATTTTTTTTCATACGACAAATTAATTTAGACTCATTCCTTTCAGTTCACTTGTTAGCAATTTAAAAGTCACTTAAAAATACTTTAAGTCACAAATATTTACTTTAACCGAAGTCCTTTTCGTTGTATCGAATATTGCGAGAATTTAAATTGACTTTGTTATTTATAATTGGGATAACTGGAAATCTTGTTAACTGTAAGTTCATCGTCTAAGAACCGCCTGCTAAGCAACTTCTACAGCATTCATCGTTGCTACGCTTTGTACTTTCTTGGATTTGTCAATTAATCGCCGGGTTTAGACGTGCACGGGTTGGGGTTCGGTATCCAGATTCGGTTCCAGCCGCCGGTAATACAACTTGGAGCGACACGCCAGGTGTGGCAGGCAGCTGTAGTGCATCAGCAGCTTCAGTAATTGCTATTTGAACTTGCGGGCGGACCGCTGTTTGCTGTTCTTGGAGACGCCTCCGTTTCCACTTCCTGCCGGCAACGTGATGTGCTGTGCTGGCTGCGGTTGTGGCTGTGGTTCCGGTTTTGCCTGTCGCATCTGTGGACTCTGCTTTAAGGAGGTGGCGGAAGGAGTTGAAGCGTTAGTTGCTGCGGCTTTAGGGCGGGCTGAGGGGCGTGGCTGGTCAAGCTGCGGCTGCCCCTTGCCATTCCCATTCCCATTGTTAGTTTGCGGCTGTTTCGTTATCGCCTGCGAAGGTGCGGATTTCTCGGGCGGATGCAGCAGTTTGCTGGCGGTTTCGTTTAGCAATTGATCATAGCTTAGTGGGTTAGCAGGAGGGTCACTATCGTTATCGTTATCGTTATCTGCAAATGTGGTTTGGGGGTAACGAGGAGACAGTAGTTTTAATTCGAATTCAGCTACATCGTCTGTGATGCTGGGATGCTGATGCTGATGGTGACTGAGATGCGATGGGTGATTGGTGCTGGCTCTTATGGCTACGTGATGGCTCTAAGACCTTTTGGCCTAGAACCGTGGCTACCCATGGCTAAGATGGCTTAAAGTACACAACTGAAAAGGTGACAAAACGTACGAGAAGAACGCAACTTAGGGCTAAAATAAAAATGCACATTTAAAAACAGAGTTTCTTAAATTGAAAATTTGTTTGTGTTGTTCTTGTTGTTGTTGTTGTTGGGGGTTTCTTTGTTCTTGTTGTTCTCGAATAAATATTAAGACAATATTTGCAAATAGTAAATTATAACATAAATGGTATATACGTGTATAGATAGAAAAGTTTGGCTGCCAAAACAATTGAAACAAAACACTTAACGCTCAGCTCGAATTCGATTCGAAGAGTGGGCGCAAAAAAAGGGGGCGGAGCAGTTAGAACACACACACTCACACTCACACACATGCAGAAACATGTACACAATAGCCACAAATGGTTGGCTATAATTTCAGTTTTGATTTTGACTTTATTTTAAATTGTTTTCGTTTTTTTTTTTTTTAGAGATATTGTATACACTCATTGTTTGGTTTGGTTTTTATTCATAGGGAAAAACATATGTACATATGTGGGAGAAAGTGGGAAAGGGGCAGGTATTGACAATGAATTTCAATGCAGATGAGCTAAAAAGTCATCGCTATAAATCAGTTAACACAGGAGAGGGCGAAAGTACAAAATTTTCAATTAAAATACAATGAAGTGTAAAAGTTTGTGGCCAGGCCAAGTGTTCTTTTGGGAAAGGGGCTTTGGTGGCAAGAGATTGGGGCAACTGTGCCAAGTGTGTCGCCCACACACACACACAACGTATCGCAACACATCACGTTTGTCGAGAGCAGCAGCAGCAGCAGTGCAAAAAGTTTAATTTGAAAACTTAATTAAAATTTCTGTGCGTTCGTTTTTTTTTCCCCTGCTCTTCATCTCTGTCTTTCCCTTTAAACGAGATGTGTGCGGGGGCAAATAAAAATTGCATTTATGTCACTCTGAAGAATTCGTTTCGACAACACATTTTGGGCTGAACCTTAAATCTCAATTAGACCGGGGGGCTCCTTGACATTGGCCACAGTTCGCCTTGGGAATTACGTGTGTGCTTGGTCTGTGTGTACGTATATTTGGGGATGGGGTTTAAAGGGGGGGCTGAGTGTGTGTGTGTGTTTAACAAAAAAATTACAACAAAACGACGAAAATCGAACGATTTGCATTTGTTTGTTCTGGTTTGCTTGTTTTGTTTTGCTTTGTTTTGTTTTGTTCAGATTCGGTTTTGTATCTATGAGCTACCAGTTTCTTCGGTCTCCTTGTCGGACTTCTTGTCCAGCGTCTGCGAGATCTTCTTCCAGATGTTCTCGAAGGAATCGGCGCCAGAGTAGTCGATCTGTCCAGACTCCCAGCACTGGCGGCGCATCTGATTTTCGTAGTCCTCCTGTTCGGGAGTGCGTTGCTCACCGATGCGCAGCTGAGACAGAGCACCAGCCAGACCCGCCTGAAAATATGCAAATTGGATTTATTAAAACCTGCTTCCTTTACCATTAAAGACGGGGTGGTCGGGTGGGGTGTTGGTGTTGGTGTTTCGGGTAGTTCATGCACTACTACGGATTAAACATTTATTAGCACTAGTAGAGACGCAGACGAACGGTTGACAACATTGAGATGTTAGTTACGGTGCACAGGGCGTATGATTAATATGACAACAGAGTGCTACTCGAGGCATAAATCAAGTATACGACGCGCTGCACAGCGACTGCTTACGTTTGCAACTCGTGTCCCAGCAACTCTCTGGCAGATTACTATGTGAAAGTGGGCGGAATGCTGGGAGGTGGCTGAGGTGAGCACATGCAACACGAGGATGAAATGCCTGCTTGGCTGCTGCATCTCAAGATGATGAAGTTGATAATGATGATGATGATTATGATGGTGCTGTAATGGGGAGCGAGCTCACCATTCTCCATTTACATTTATGCTTGACCAGGTGCCAGGCCAACTAATAATAAATCAACAAATGCCCTTATCCAGGCCACAAACACAACGTTGAACCCGGTACCAAGGACCAAGGACCAAGAACCAAGAACCAATGACCATGAGGAACAATGAACGATGACCGAAGGACAATGACGACGACAATGACAATTCGTATGCAAAACAGTGACTAGACGAAAACCAGGGCATTACAATATCACTATCACTTGCACTAGCACTTGTACACTTGCACACCACTATCCGATGCTGGTTTTGTTGGGAATTTGAGATTAAGCCTTCTACACAGAACAAAAAATCGTGTCGATCATATTTTGAACTTTGCTTTTTACGGATTTTGCATAAAAAATTGTTTTTTTTTTATGTAGTTCTTGCAATGTAAATATTTTTCCTTTTTTCAACGAAAGTTTTTAAAGTGAATGTGAGAAAAATTCAAAGTTTAATTATTTTGTTAGCATCCACTCCTATTGAATATAAATCGAAACGATAAGAATATTTTTTTCTGTGTAGTTCTTGGGCCAGGATTGGATTGATTGCCTTTACCTCAGGCTGCGCAGTGGCTGCAACTTCATGTTCTTGTTGGTGGCTTGTCGCTTTTTCTACTGTCTGACTATGCACGGAATGATGAGGCGTGGGCGTGGGCGAGGGCGTGGGCGTGGGCGTGGCAGTAGGCGTGTCATTGGCAGTGGCAGTGGCAGTGGCTGAGGTGGCATGTTCAGGTGGATGTGAAATGTTTAGCTCATTGCTATTCACATCTACGGATGGAAAGTCTTCGGCATTGGCAGTGGCAGTGGCAGTGGCATTGGCATTGTAGGACTGGGGTGGAGGAGTCGGCGACGAAGGTGGGTGGCATGCATCGTCATGTTGCCACTCAGTGGCATATTCATTTGCATTTGCATTCGCATTCGCAGTCTCAGTTGCATTCGCATTCCCATTGTCCTGGCTGTGATTCTGGCTGGGATTGTGGTGCTGGTGGTGGTGCTGCTGCTGTTGCTGCTGCTGTTGCTGCTGCTGCTCCTGCTCCTTCTCCTTCTCCAGATTCTCATAGTAATCTGCCCAAGGATCGCGGAACTGGCGCACATGCAACAGTTGGTGGTGCATCTGCTGCTGCTGGTAGTACTCATGCTGCTGCCGCTGATGCTGCTCATCCGCCGCGGATTCGCTTTGCGAGTGCATTAGATTTAGGCAAAGGCACTGAGACGATGTTAGATAGATAGAGTTATATGCACGACAAATGCGATTCGGCAGTCCGCGAATTTTATATGGCAAGTTTTTATTTACAGAATGCGCAACATAGGAGAGCGAGAGTTGGAAAATAAAGAGTAAATGAATAGTAAATCAATTTGCAAAATAAAGAACCGAACGGCACAAACAAAAAAAAAAGGTAAAAAGTGGAGGGTTACAAAAACGGAGATCCCCCTGAATGTGAGTGTGTGTGTGTGTGTATATTGGCTTGTGTTATGGGATATATACCTAATGATTCTGGCATCACCCCCAACCATCGACCATCTTGATTTGAATCATTTTCATCTATCGATGGCGTAAACCGAAACATTTTCCTGGCTCTCGGCCAAATCGATGCAAATTCGAAAACAAAACGGAAAGAAAGTGAACACTGAGACGAGCACACACACACACACGAGACACACACAGTTGGACAAATATTACAAAAAATACAAAAGATATAAATTAAAAGAGACCCAATTGAGAATCGGTCCGTACGTCTGTCTGTCTGTCTGTTTGGGGGGCCAAAATAGCAGAAGAAAATACAAATAAAAAATGGGTTACTTTGGGGCGTGGCTGCTAATCGAGGAAAAATCAACAGAGAATTGCAAAGCGAAACAAAAAAAAATAATGAAAACGAAGTCAAAGAACAGAACGTTAAAGTGAATAGATAGTAAAGGCGAGAAGTGAAACGATAACGAGGTCAGCTATCGGCAAGAAATAGCAAATAGATCGAATTTGAATTTGTTTGCTTGGGTTATTTACTCGGCGCGCACAGAAAGATGGATAAATAAATAAATATTTGAGTTATAATTAAGAATATTTACACAGAGGAGTGCTCAGGGTCTATACAGATCTGGTGCGAGATGGTTCGACAATTGGAGATCTGCTTACCTCGGTACTTGGCCCGTGGGCTATCGCTCCCTCGGGCCGATCAATGGCAACTCTTCCTGGCGTTTGCTTGCGATTAGCGGGTTAAGAAACGAAGCAGGGGGTTTTTGGGAGCAAATACATTGGGTTAAACAATAGAATTCTTTGGTTAGCTTTAGTTTGGCTTGCAAAAACAGGGGAGACATAAGAGTTCGGTCTGATTGTAGGGGGAGCAGAAGTAATGCTGTAAATCGCCAAAGGGTAGAAGATTCCAGTTGCAAATAGCCCACGGAGGGCACTTACCATTTCGGTGGACAGGGACTGGATCACGTTTTCACAGAAGATGTTCCACCACAGCTGAATCAGATCCTGGGCATGGGCATAGTCCGAGGAAACGCTGGCCACCTTTGTCTCGGAGTTGAACTGAATCAGCCAGGGCTTCAGCTTGCCGGCGAAATGCAAAATCTTAATCTTATCTCTGAACCTGTAAGCGTTAAGTATATTATAATACAAACTGGTGACTGGTTGCTTGGCCACCTAGAGACTGGGAAACTCACTGTTTGAATGCGGGCAGATAGCAGTACGAGGCATAGGCCGTCACATTGTAAACAAATGGCAAATGCTTCTTGATGTCGGCCGTCGCCCAGTCGGCAAAGAACTGGTTCAGCAGGCCCTGATCGCCGCCATCGAAGCTGCCGTTCTTCACGGCGAACTCTGTGATCTGGGTGAAGGTGTCCACGCTGGGTCTGAACACGAACACGCCGGAGTTGAAGCAGTCCGGCCAGCTCACATCCGGAGCGGCCGAAAGTTCCTCGCGCTCAAACAGCTCGTCGCAGTTTTGCAAAACCTATGAGAAAAGAACATAATTCGTTGTTAAGAGATTTCATAAGGATCAGGGTAGTCACCTAACGTACCATATAAGTTATATAATAGTTAGATATATGGATTTCTAAAATTAACTGCGTGAGAGATACAAACAAAATTATCATCCTGACTTCAACAATAAAATTGTAAAGGAAGTGATTTAATTAAAATAATTAATTCATCTTTAATCGAAATTCATTACTCAAATAAAGCAAATAGCATATCACAATGATATCTTTGTACATATGATATATTTGTTATTATTTCTTAACGGATTTTTTTCACTTTTTTGCTGTTTCTGAGATCAAACTGAAAGTATTGCACTAAAAAAATTAAGATCAGAAGGATCAAATTGAGTTAAAAACTAACTATATTTAATGGTAAGTAAAGTAGGTAAATATTTTTTTTTTCCATTGCCCATATCTTACCAGTGTATCGGCATCCAGAAAGACGCACTTCTCGAACTGCACGAGGCGCCAGCAGTGCAACTTTGTGAAGGTCACGCCCAGTTCGGGGCGGGCGAGCAGCGCCAGATTGGCGGCGTCCTGTGAGTCGAGCACATTGACCTCCTGCACCACGTTGTACACCTCCTTCAGTCTGTCGCGCATCGCCTGCGAGACGGTGGGCGTGACCAGGACGGCCAGCTGGTGGGTGGTCTTGGCCCTTTTCAGGGAGTGGGCCAAAACCAAGGCACCCAGTGAGTACGTGTCATTTGTCGTCAGCGTCACCCAAGCGAACTCTATTCGGGACGAGAGGGACATAGATAGAGATGCAAATTAAACGCTATAGATATTTCAGAGATAAAACTTCAGACAGAGATACGAATTGGGTTACAATTCAAAAGTCATTGTTACATTGCACGTTTCACTGCAGCAGCTGGCTGGGAACTCGCAGTGTATTTATTAGTTTCGTATTCAGCAAAAAATGGTTATGGATTATAAATAAACAAGCGATTTTTCGGGTTCCCCATTTGAAAGAGAACAGATATGTATGTTTGTACATGTGGTGTGTGCAGATCTCCAACTGCGTCAGCAGTGGGCGGGGCACGCGGCGCCCACATGCATACAAATTTCATTTGCTTTGTTAGAGCGGAAAAATTGCAAAAAAAAAAACATAAAGAATTGGCAAAATCGAGCAGAGCATATTTCAGGCGCGTCCAAACGGGCAATTAGAATTTTGCGTAGTTGGCATTTAGTTGGGCAAAAGCTATAGATAATTATTCATGGCGTTGGCATATCCTAATATATATACATGATTATGTGGCGATTATGAGTTTTTTTTTCAGTGCACACTTCTCACACGATGGGGAATTAGTTTTGACTAGATTAGGTTGGAATCTGTATGGTACACAATTTACAAGTGAATTTATCTTGAAATTCTCTCCCCGTTCTTGGTAGTATTTATAAATTGTTAAACCATGCAGTCTTGCTGTGTTGAAAATTAAAAATTCATTAGAGTTAAAATATATAAAACATACGATTATTTTTTATTTCCAATTTTGATTATTGACAAGTAAATGGAATTTAGAACAATATAATTCGGGTATTACTGCTACGAATCGATAGAAAATAGATTGGTATATATACAAGTGTGTATATATTATAAATAAATACTTGGTACATTTCGTTGAGTTAACTTTAGTCAGGTTAAATGTCAGATTAGAGGTCTGTATACATGTTGTTGGGTTTTAGAGAAGCGAACTGAAAAGGAACTGTGAAGCGTAGGATACAACAAGTAGGTGGAAAACAACAACTACCTTCTCGCATTCAGATACGGATGCGGACACAGAAACAGATGCGCATTCCGATGGATAGCTGCTGCACAGTGGTCTTATCAGCGTCATTCAAATGCATTCGCTAGCCTGATCTTGATTTGGATTGAGTTCAGCATGATCTTTATCCTCCGCCGAATTCTTTAATGTGTGTGTGAGAGTGTGTCTGTGTTTTGTGTGTGCGGGTGAAAGATACACAGATGCTTTCTTTTCTATTTGCGAGTGTGCGTGTGAAATGATTCGTTGAGCCTAAAATAAAAATGAAATCATTTACTTTCGGCAAAACCAGAATGGATCTTATTAACTTCTGACTTACCGGATGTGTGCGAAAATGACAACAAATTTCACAAAACAATATAACTTATGGGGGAAAACGGTGAAAAAGTATTTCAGTAGTCGTCATAAATTTGGCGATTTAAACAAAATAAAATAAACAACACTCGGTCTAAAAATAAACTTTCAACATCTGTTGAAATTGTCAAATTGAATGCGTCGCGACATTTTCCTTAAACATTTTCCTTAGCACGTAAACTTAAAAATAAGTAAATTAGCAATTTATATGACAGCTTATGTTGAAAAATTCGTTATGTTTTTTGGCAGTGTAGAAGAGAGAACTATAAGCTTCTCTCTTTAAAAGAAAGCTCTCTCTCTCTCTTAGACACTCTCTTTTTTGAGCAGAGTTTGCGCCTTGGTTTCTGCAACCCCGCTTTTATCAGATGCGTATAACGGGAGCACAATAAAGCTGATAAAGGGCCCCGCCAAAGCGAGTGTGTAAAAGGGTTGGAGGTCGTGGGTTGGGATGAGCTCTTGGGTCTGGGTCAAGTGACTGAGAACATGCCCGTTGGAGTGTGAAGAGGCCCAGATCAGATTAACGCCAGTCACCGCCATTAATGGGGTCACCAATTAGATGAATGGGGAACCCGAGACCTTGAGGGAGACATCCTGTGCCCTCCCGAAACTCGTTTGTCAGGGTCCCCATTAAAACATCGCGATAATTTGCAGCCGGCGCATAAGAAATCAAGTACAGTCAAACCTGGGTAACCTCGAAATCTTACATATTTTCTGCATCGACTTATAAGACAGATGTTCTTATTACGAGGTAAAAGTTCTAACAAAAAATTTGTATATGTTTTAAAAGATAGGTTAGTTATTTAAAATATATTTTTAAGTTTACAGGTTTTTTAATATATATTTTTGTTACCACAAAGGTAAAATATTAAAATCTTTATTTTTTATAATCGTTTAGGGGAAGACATTTCTGAAATTTTTTCCGCACATCCTTTATAAACTTAAAATGAACCATATCTCTTTAAGAGTATATTTTGTATAAGTTAAACAGAAATCATCTAATTATTAAACATCTATTACAAAATAAATTTTACTGAATCTTGCTGGTAAAACACTTTGTATGGTTCTGTAAGTTCTAGGAAATTTCGTTTACCCGTGTTGGACTGTACTAGGGGAAAATGCATATTGAGATATGCCAAAGGGAGTGGTGGTTTGGGGGGATCGGGGAACATCAACGACACCAACGCACAAATTGGCGAGTGCAAGGCGCGGAACAAGTTCTGCGGGAAACCTCAGCAGGCAGTGTGTATCTTGTAGATTCCGATTCTGTATCCGAAAGAGCAGGCCACTAAAAATAGCCCCGCCGATGTGAAATGAAATGAGATTGTGTCTGCTGGTAGGCGATGCATTGGATCGGTACAGGCAACGCAGCAGTTTTAGAAATTGAATCACCATCGAGGACGAGGGGGTGACCGAAACGCGAGATGCTGGAAATCCCTGCTGGCTGAAAATTAAAGGCAGCTGCCGTAGGTTGATGATAAATGCGGGCATAAATCCGTGCAGATTTAATGGATATTCCAAGGCAAGAGAAATGATGATATATCCGAGAATTTTAGTGGGCGATGCGACACAAAAGAATGTTCTCGGGCGTGGAAAACTTTTCGAGAAAAAATAATGTTATTTTCGAACACACAAAACTTGTTAGCGCCTGTCGCCAGCCATAATTCCGACCCATACATATAGGCGGAACTTAAAAATAGAAAATCATCTACGGAGTGTACATATAGAGGGTGAATAATATATGGGAGGTGCTTCAAACATGATCGCCGGACGTCAGCGAACGCGTGTGAAAATGGCAAGGCGAAGTGCATCCCTTAATGGGCTGCTAATCTCAATGAGCTGCAAATGCGGAAAGACATAATCCGCTGATAAGGCATGCAGCTGATAAGGCGCAGCTAATGGCGCTACGTTGTATTTACTGGGTCACCGGAATGCGACGACAGGTACAAAGCGCAAATCCATGTGTTAAATCACAACAAAACGCGGCTCTCTCTCAACATAACATTAAGAAAAGCTCTATCAATCTCTCTTCGGAGCTCTTCCCGCTCATTGAAGGTTATGTGAGCTTCGCGTTATCAGCATTTTGTGCACAAACTTTTCATAAACAAACAAATATGCCAGGCAGCCAGAGGTTCCCAATGCAATGGTTTTGTTTTTTTAAATGTTTTCCTACACTCTAACGGCCGTGAGAGCGCTGAGGGCTGGGGGGTGATGAGGGGCTGTGGGCTGAGCAAATGCTAGTGAAGGTCAGTAAAGGTCGTCGCCACACTCTGCCGTCGCCGCTCTATGCTCGATTTATAAATATATTATAGTAATGCGATTATCGCTATGATTTTGATTCGGGTTTTGATTTTGATTTCGATTTTGCATAACTCCTCCCAGAAGCGAGTGTTATGAAATATGGGAGAAATGACGATTGGTTGGTTTATTAGCAGGAAACGCCAATGGAGCTTTAACTTAGGGCAGGCTTTTCTTTTCTTTCGATTTTCAGTTTCCAGCCTTTAGCCATGCATACACACACACACTCTCTTCTTTCTTTGCTTTTCTTTTTTTTTCATTTTTTTGCATTTGCTTTGGATTTCGGTGTGGCCCAACTTACTGCTCATTTTGTTAGGATTTATGGATTAACTGTGGGGTTTTCTTTTGGATAAACTCGATTGGGGCACTCGCGAGGTTTTTCCGGCGGGCGTTGACGGTGGGTGGCTGAGCTTTCACACTGAATTCGAGAACGAGAGCGGCGTTTGCGGTGCGCCTTTCACGAGCGATGACGAGAATCTGAAGCGACCGTTCGACTGCCGTGGGCATAAATGCCTAAATGCCAATGCAGAGACACGGGCAGCGCAGTCGGCGACGCGGTCGACGTCGTTGGCCACCACAGAAAAAGCCGGTGGGAGATTTATTATACCCGCTACATGCAAAATAAAAGGGCATATTGTGTTCGTGTAAAAATTGAAACATCTGAATAGCTTTGAGTTTAACTATTTGAACAACTGAGCAAGAGTGAACTTAATGACTGGATAAATAAAAATATCATATTCAACGTATTTAATTAAATTTATTTATTTTGTTGTTATATATTTAATATATTGTTTTAAGAAAGTTATATTATATTTTAAAATATATTGAGTCTATAGTATAAAATATGTAAGTCTTTTGGGTAAGCACCTTATTTTCAAAAAGAACCGTGAGTAGTGGGTAGTCGGTAGTCGGGAGGCAGGCATATGAGAGTATAGCTTTTTTTTCTGTTTTTATATAAAAATACCACTGTATTTGTGAGCAGGAAGGCGCCAAAGAAAAAGTATTTTGCATTCCGCTTACTTATATTTCATTTCTATTTCTGCTTCTTCTTCACTCGCCGGCTAATGCTGGGCCGGCTATAAACGTAAAAAGAGAGAGAGGTACAGAGAGAGCAAAAATAAGGTGCGAAAGTCACGTCAAAAACAACTTGGATAAGTGGTGGTAAGAGCGCCAAAGAGTGGGTGAAAGCAAAGAGCGTGATCTAAGAGAGCTGCAATATAGGGTTGATAGTTCTGCTCAAAAAAAAAAAAATTAGCCACGAAAAAATTATAATAAAATGCACAAATAAAAGTAAAAGACTATAGCTTATATAGTTACATGTTAATTAAATAAAAAAAAATTAATTTTTAAATGCACTGTTCATTTCATACAATCGAAGGCGCCAAGTTCCTAAAAGTTATTGCATACTTTTTGGCTGTCTTGACAAAAGTAGTACTTTTGAAAGTACTTCAAAATTATTTGCCTACTTTAAAGCTGCTAGTACACAATGTGTTTGCAAATGTACAGCGTCATATTAAAAAAAAGTTAAAGAATGTTTGCAACTGAATTTGTTTACTATATAAATATTAATGTCTAATAAATTAAAATTAAAAAAATCATTTTAAATTAGTTATTGATTTATTTACATACAAATTCTGATGATTAATTGTAAACTCCACCAGATGTAAACAAATAATGATGCATGTTAATTCATTCTTATAGATGTTACAGGATATATTTATTCTATCAATTGAAGCACCAAAAAAACTTTAGCCCGTTTATACCTTACCATCGCTGTTGTAATAGGCGGGAAATTCAAACCATTTTCAGTTGGAAAAATTCCATACTCAAAAATCAAAATGTAATCCCATTTTAAATTAAAGTTTTATTGTTATTCGTTATAATTAGTCGATTGCTTTTCATATCACTAAATAAATGTTACTTATGCATAAAACTTAATAAATAAGAAATAAGCGGTGGCATTTGAGCAAGGCATTTCTCTTTGATTGTGTGGTGTTATAGTTTTGGTGATTTTTGGTAAATGATTCGATTCGCTAGGTAGACAGTTGTCCTATGGCTAAACTAAGACGTAATGATATGTAATAAATAACTGGCCACTAAAACTAACTAAGTAACTAACTAAAGTGCTATTTTCGGGCAGTATCACAGTGCAGAGGCTCGTCCTCCGGATGACGGTTGTTGATGGCATTTTTGGGCGAGATCACAAAAGGCTTTCGCTTCTGGACATTTCTCTTTCGTCTTTGGGCTCGTTTTCTCCGGTAATGTATCACGCAGAAGATGACAACTGTCGAAATATATACATTTATAACAACTTTGTATATAAGTATATCAGTCAATACGCACCTATTAGCACAATACAAACGCCTCCAAAACAGCCTGCGCCAAAGAGCCACAAGCTGCGCGTTTCGGCCAACTCCACAGTCGTCTGGCAACTGGCGAACGTCGCCGAGTGGATCGTCCGATTGTAGGGCAGTGGACACTCGCGGATGTCGAGCGCCTCTGAAAATGGAATTGCAAGTTGGTCATGTGCCAAAATTAGCAGCTGCTCCGACTGCATCGCCTCCATCGCCATCACTTACCCATGCAAACGGGCACGAACTTCGGACTGGCGCCGAGCATCATGAGATGGTTGGTGACCTGCTGGCAGCCACACTGGCTGAGCTGCGACTTGGTCAGATCGATGACCTGCAGGTGACACAGGTTCGCCAGGCTGTCGATCTTGAATTCCTGCAGAGGGTTCATCGAGGCATTCAGTTGCCAGAGCTCTGGAAGGAATTACACGGTGAAACTGGTGTTACTTTTGTTCAACATTTTTAAATATGGGAATTTACATTAGATAACTCTGCTTATTAATCAAATTTGTTGAAAAGTGTATTTGTGAAATAGGCCACACTCAAATTATAAATATTATTTTGAATATCTTGTAGAGGGAAATTAAAATAGCCAATACACATTTAATTAGTGCCCAAACGGAAATTTAAATTTAATATTAAAATTTGATCTATAGAGTATTCATAAGGAATAAATTTAAACATTTATTCTAATGGGCAACATAATCTTGCAACGTAAGTATTTGTTATAATTTAAATTCGGAATTCCAGATTTGTTGATGTTAGTAAAAACCTTAATCGACTTAAAGACTCATAGACTTTTACTTACTTGGCAGTATACCCAGGTCGGGCAACTCCTGCAGTTCGCAGCCTGCAATGTTCAGGTACTCCAGTGGTGCCCGGACGGGCTTCTCCAGCGCCTGGAGGTTCAGGGATGTCAGCTCGTTGCTGTCGATATAGAGATTTCTCAGACGTGGCAGCTGAAACAACTCCAGCGGAATCGTTGTCAGTCCATTATTCGAAAGATCTATTTCCTGAGAATGCCGATTAGAGAATTAATTAAAGACATAGTCGCTGATTAATTGGATGTCGTTGTTACCTGGAGCGAGGTGAGTGGCTCAAAAGTTCCCGGCTCCACCGATAAGATCATATTATCATAGAGCATCAGAAACTTAATGTCTGTGTACCTTTGAAACGAGCCACTTTTCAGCTTCCTGATGCGATTGTGCGATAGGTCCAGAACCTACAAAAAATTGCCAACGAATTGTCTGATCATTAAGTGACAGTTGAGAGTTATGAATGGTTAGGGTTCCCATATACCGCCAACGTATGTACGTGCATCCGTGTAATGGATAAATTTATGTTTGTGGGCAACTTCTTTATTCTTTAATTAAGCTCAATTGAGGCTAACTGTGGCGGGGGGCCGATGACGACGTGGTCGTCTGACCCCGCGATCGTTACTCACCTCCACCGAGGTCTTGAGGTTCTGGGGCACCTCCTTGAGGTCCAGATCGTAGCATCGAATGCGCAGCAGCTTCTCGATACGGCCGTAAGTGCACTTGCGCTCTTCCTGCAGAATAAACCCCGCGGAACGCAGACTTTGGAGACACACGATGAACGTCAGCAGCTGCCAATGCAGTTCCATGCTCTGCCAAAGTAAACAAATAAAATAAATTTATATATATATATATATATAGAGCTGACCCATCGAAACTGTGGCTTCGACAATTTTGGCGCTAACTTGTTTATTTTCTTGACTGGAACTAGAACAATAAATTAATTCGAACAATCACTCGTGGGCGCGTCAAAGCGTTTATTTTCGAATTAAAAATTTACAAGATCATTGCCGATCGCCAGGGGTCTGGGTCTGGGTTGGTTTTTAGGGGTGAATCCATGCCCGAAACTGAAAGCGCTCGATCAAGCGAAGCTCCCGCACCTTGCAAATGGAATTAACCCATGAAAACAGATACACATATACAGCTGCAGAATTCAAAACAATGCTAAAATTCGAAGCCTAGGTCAGCTGTTGGCCAGCGTATGAGCGATGCTCACATTGCGTATACGTAACACACAATCAGTGTCATTCCGGCTGCATTCATGCACAATAACAAACGATGATTCCGCATTGCGGCGGAAACAGTTGCAGCCCTATAATAATAAAAGCAACTAGCCCGAAAATAACTGACTCACTGCCTTATAGATAGATCCATTTGGGGAGAGTCTTGACAGCAAGTGTTCGGTGTCTGTTTCCTTGTACAATATCTTATCGCCTTTTTGCGTATATCTTTTAATTCAACATCAAACAGCAAGTGTGGTAGCCATAAATCATCCAAATATTCCATTAGAATGCTTTTATGGCTCTTTGCAATGTGTCAGATTCACAAACACTCTCCTCGATTTGCCAAAAAAAAAAAAAAAAAATAGGAGAAGTGGAAAACAATAATCGATTATGGGCCAGAAATAGGAATTCTACAACGTGATTTATACCTCCGCATAAGTACATATATCTTGACATGATCTTAACATGTAAGCCCACTCGGAATGCACATTTGGGAAATTGAAATGGCCAGAATCCATTGTTAATGTCTCTGTCACGCCCCATTGAAGGGCAATTAGAAAATTGCACGTTTCCCCCAACTTTGTATCAGCTGCCTTTGCGTGATTTTAGCTTTGTGAAATATGTGAAAATGGAAACCGAACCTCATGAGTAATATCTTGAGTATTGTAATTTTGCAATTGTGACATTCGGGTTAATTGCTGTCGCAGCTGAAGTTTTGTTTTGCCCAACAAAACTGAATTTCTCGAGAAATCAATTGTATGTCAGCAAAAAAAAAACGAGAAGTTCTATTTACCCAAACCTTAAATGTTTGCCAACGAATGATGAACGACACTCAGATATCCATCCATATTGGCAAATCACTTTGAGCCCGCACAAGTGGCGGAATTAAGACGTATCGAAACGCCGTTGGCCGATAAGATCTTGGCCTTTTACAAAGAAAACAAAAGAGTGCGAATCATTTATAAAGTTAGTAACGATTCGTTGGTCATACTAGAAACATAATAATGATTCATGGCCCATATTTAGCCGCCATGATTCCCCCATTTATTAATTTTTGTTATTTTCCTGCTAGCTGAAGTGTCTTGGCCTTTGACCAAAAATTGTTGCGCCCCACTTGAGAGGCATATGCTCTTCAAAACAGTCCTGCCAATAAGTTTGCTCCAAGCCAAAGCAAAACCAGTCGCACACTTTCGGCGCCCAGTGTACACCACCTCTGTCATTAGAGCTGCCTGTCGGATAAGCGAAAAAACGAAGCAGAAAAATATCAAAAGAAATATTGAAGCTATTTCCACACTTTTTGGGACTGACAGCAACCGCAACAAAGGCTATAAATATATTTCATATATTTAAATTAAAATTAAGCATAAAAGCCAAAAACGGCGGCCAGAACAAGAGGGCAATATAAACAGTGGCGGCCAACTGCAAACTTATGGATTCGAAGAGTTTTAATTCTTTTTTCTTCCGCCTCTAATATAAAATTCTTTATTTTGAGGGGCTCAGAATTCAAAGAAATTGGCCATAAAAAGGGCTAATGTGCCAGGCACCAAATGGAATATACACTATCGATCCCAATCCCGATCCCGTCTCCCAAATCAAATGGGGTATCAGAATTAGCCTTAGACATTGTTCTATTAGAGGTGGATTTGGTAGGGGTCAGAATTTATGTTTTCCACTTTGGCCGCATTTGTTCCCATATTTATTTATATATTAGGCTCAATCAAGCGGCTGCCGCCGACCAGACAAACAATGGGAAATGCGAATGGGGTGGCAGAAATGGGTTACGGATCGGATCGGAACGGAACGGTCCACGGCAATACTCCCACACCCTCCTCTTGGGTTCCGACTGTCGACCAACGCATTGCAGCCTGCCCGATATGATAAATATGACGACGAGGGATTATTTATCTGTTCTTCGGGCCAAGCGATTATGGAGATAACAAAACGCAACATGGAATCGAAAATCCCCTAAAAACAAAAAATTGGGTGGCATAAAAAAACTCGAAATTAGTATCAAATATTTTAATAACATTCTAAACATTTGTGAATGGATTTATGTGCTCTTGTGATAGTTCCTGTCACACATTGTGGGCGTCGAAAAAGATGCATATATTATCGGGTAAACCCGTGCATGATGAGCATATATCTTTCGACCGGGACCCCGCCGCCTTTCTCTCCACTCTCAACAGGTGGGTGAGCTGGAGGGCCCCGAGATTTATGCACATTTCTCGACAGTACGATAAAGATTTATTTGTTTGGACATTTCGCTCTGATGCTGTGATGAAACATCGCTTGAGACAACTTTTACTATTGTGTCGTCAGGTGTCGGTTACCATCTTGGTTGCCCACAAATGCCATTGGGTAATAATCACATTTTCTTGAAAGCTTATCAAAGTACTTCATGTATTCTTATCGGGTTTGTTCCCGTTTCCGTCGTAAAGTTCTTTCCAAATTATAACAGCGATGCAAAGAACAAAAAAAAATTAATTGAAATGGCAATAACAACGACCCCGTAAAGAATGGTGTAGCATAAAAAAGCGTTGTTCATTTATTTCAATTAAACACAATCAAGAAAACATTCGCCCCGAGAATGAAAAGTGGAAAAAAACAAAAGAATCCAATCCAGATACAGTTACTTGCCAATCGGAATGCCAGTCGATATGATCGTTTCACCCTAAGAAATGTTTATTTATGCTTAAACTTTGAATACCTAAGAAACTCTTTGGTAAACAACCAACTTTCAATGAAAATATTATATTTCAAATATTATTTTGTAGAGCTTTACTTTGTTCAGCACGTTTTTCCCCTCAGACTTTCGTTTCTTTTTCTAGAACACACGCTGTAAGATTAGTCTCCCCCTTGATAAGCAGGTGTTTCTATACGAACGTGAATTACTGAATAAACACTCATGCTCTTTATCCCTAAAACGTTTTTTTTTTCAGATATACACATCAAGTATATAATGTGACTTTCGTTTTATCTGGAAGATATGTACGGTACACACAGAAGCCTCCAATTGCCGTTGTGCTGCCTTCCCTAATTGAAATCAATTTAACTTGGACTCTATCGCATTATGTTGGCGTAGAGACTCTTTTGGATCCGGACACTTCAGAGACTGGGGCACATTTCAATGCTAAGTTTCCTGATTAGAAAATTTCATTTAACGGCTGCAGCTGTTGTGCAATCTAGTCGCAGTACTATAGTGGTTCCACTATTGATGATAACCCACCACCCCTTACTACGAGTCGAAAACAACAAACGAAAACGTTCTGTAACAGATTTAGCTATCAGCTTACCGCTTGGAAATTTCAAGTGTTCAGGTATAATCCCATTTAAAGTTGCAGAAGATAATCCTTTGGCAGTGGCTCGTTTGCTATTTCACTTTCTACACTTCATTTGTTTTCTTCTATAAACTTGTATAAATATTTTATGCTTCGTATATATTTTTAAAACACTTTTGTATATTTTCTTTTAAATATTTAAAATATAAACAGCTTGCGGCGGAAAATAATAGAGCGACCGTTACAGAGCGTGCACGTTAGCCGGAACCGTTCAATTCAACCGCAGTCATAGAATTGAAACGATCGGTTTAGTTTTGGGCCTTTCGGACTCCGACGATCGCCGAGCACTCACTCGCACCGAAAAACACTGATAAAGCAGACAAGCCACTCACAGATGAACAGATGACACTGCTGCAGCGGGAAAACTCGAAAAGAAAATTCAGGAGAGAGAGAGAGAGAGAGAGAGCGAATGACGGGTTCTAGCTTCTCCGTGATAACAGCAATGGAAACTGATACATTGTGTCGCTGGAAATTGAAATGTTTTGGGGCTTTTGACAGCTCAAATGTGGATATTTCTGATTTAGCCGGCCACTCATTCAATTAGCAAATAAATGATAATCACAATCGAACCGGGGTGGGAAGGGCTTCCTAATGAAGCATCCACGCCGGATAGAAATACCAGTGCACATACGACTCGACTAACAAAGCGATGAATGATCATGGTATCATACTCAGAAATGAGAGCTTAACCCATGTCGTAAATGTGGGCAGACGTCTTAATTCTTCTTCTTATCAGCTAGCCCGACACCCTGACAAACAGAGATCTCTTCATGTGTGGACATGAGCCCGGTCCGTAACACACTTTTCCATATTGAGTGGAAGTTTTAAAGCCATGCCATAAACCCATAATTCACCGAGTGACGACCGCTAACTGGTACCTGAAAATGCAGGTAAAAACACCAGGTAATAACACTCACACTAAATGGATTTACTTTTCATCGTGTTTATCGGTTTGTATTTAATATTTTGTTCACAACATGAAAAAGAAATGGTAGAAAAATATGACATTGTGATTATTAAAGGTTTTAATACATAAACCCATATTTCATTAGTTTTAGTCTTCGCTTTGCAATGTTTTTTTTTCGTTTGTTTAGATAATGTAAAGTAAAAATGATAAACAAATAAGTGATCTTCAGTTGGTTAATCGAGAAAAGAATGTAAAAATTAAGTTATAAAGGGAAAATAAATAATTCTTCGTCTGGAGGTTCAATATTCTCTCCGCTTCTCTTCAATTCGCCAACGTTCGTTGATGATGTAAAATTGTTTTACACAAGGTTGAGCAACATTATATAAATCGTCCTTCGCCTTTAAAGCTACTAACATTCATTGGTTAGTGCCAAATTTATCTAGATTTCACATTTTTTTTTTGCGTTTTTTAAATATTTTTCGTTTGTTTTTGTACATTTTCTAAATGTTTTTTCGTTTTTTTTTGTTCTATTTTTTCGTTTTGTTGTGTTTGTTTTTTTTTTTGGTGATAATGTGGTTGTGTTTTCTGTATTGATTCATTAATGTAAATTAAAATTAGCATTCATTTTGGTTTTCCATGAAAAATCAATGAAGCATCTTGGCTAATAAAAATCGTGAGGGTTTCCGCCTCCGTTTGAATAAGTTAAACTCGTTCAACTCAATAGATAATACAACGCATGTTTTAGCCAAACTAATCACAATCTCCTGCCTCTGGGAGCATATATGAATTGCAATCCGTCCGTTCTGTCACTACTTCTCCTGCAGGCGCAGCATCTCGCTGATGCTCTTGCTCTGGTAGAAGAGCCGCACGACATGGGTGCCAGCTCCCTTGGTGGCCAGAATCTCCACCTGGAATGTCTCGGAGAAACGTGCGTCAATGAATGTCTGCAGCAGGGCCACATCGCACTTGGCCATGGTGGCCGCCTCTAGCTCGCAGTGTTTACTGTATCGCTCCGGTTTGGCCAGCTCCTCGGGCAGCTCCCGGAACTGCTGCGTCACAGCGTTGTTGCCAAAATCAATAAAGTGCACCTCGCACTTGCCCTCGTCCAGAACCTTGACGATCTGGGCGCGGTAGAAAACCTCATCCTCTGGAAACTGGGCGACGCACAGAGCTCCCACTTTAAGGTCGCTAAAAACGGGCAAATCCTGCTCTGCATCCAGCAGTTTATCAGTCATCTTCTCTAGCGCCGGCACATCACTCTCCATCTGGACGTAGAAGGATCGTGGGTCATCGTACTGCACCACCACGCAGTTGTGCAGCTCGACTTCCAGCGGCTTTTGCACACCGGCCACTGTGCTGGCCAGCTCCTGGGCAAAGTCCTTATAGTTGATACGCAGTTGAGCGGAAAGCGGTTTGGTTCCATCCTCATTCGGCTGAGTGGTTATCTCGTACACTTCCCCGAAATGTTGCTCCAGTAGAGCGGCGAAGGCCTCCTCTAGCTTGACATCGGGCACATCTTTTGGGATCTCACTCAGCTGGCAGTGCAAGGCCAGTGGTGAAATCGACTCTATCTCCTGGGGCAACTGCCAGACCTCCGAAACGGTCAGCGAGTTTCCATAGTCCAGCAAAAAGGTTTCAAAACCCTTGCTTTCCTCCAAAACAGATTTAATGATGCACCGATAGTAGCAGGCATCCTCCTGGGAGTAGCAAACACCCTTTGAATTTATGCTGGGATCGCTCAATATCTTCAATTGCTCTCTGCTCAGCGACTGCAGTGTCTTTACAATCAAATCCAAATCGGGTGAATTGTGCTTCAATTGCACATAGAAACTCTTCGGTGAGTTGCCATGCGAGATGACACATTCCGAGTTCTCGTTTTTCTTCTGGATTACTTTCAACTCCGCCTCAATGAGCTTCTGAAGCTGCTCGTTGATGTTCAGGGCTTTCTTATCCCTGGATGTTAGTCTGACCACCGGCGGACTGGCCGTCTTGTCTACAAACTCCACAGCCACAACACCATTGCAGCTGTCCAGCAGCGCGTCAAGTGTTGCAAGGGCCAAGGTCTTGTTCCTCTCAAATTCAGCGCTGTGTTCCAGGCTGCAGATCTCGGCAACAGGTTTGATGAGCGTAAATTCCTGGGGCAACTCGTACAGCTTGTCAGCCACTGTCACGTTGCCGTAATCAACGAATATGACTTTGTATTTGTCATCATCGAGCACTTCCAGAATGCGTGAGCGATAGAATTCATTGTCGTCGGAAAATTGAGTCACGCACAACTCATCCACTGAGCCCTTTTCCTTCTTGGGCTGCAGCTTTGTGCCATTCAGTTTTTCGCAAATAATATCCATCAAGGCATCCTTCTCACTAAACTGTAGGTACATATGGGACGTATTCTCCACGTGTGTAATGATGGCCTTGGTGGTGACTGTCAGCGACTCCTTGCTGGCTTCCTTTGCTTCCTTTCGCTGGCACAATGGAAGCAGTCGCTCGATTATGTTCTCTCCATCTAACAACAGATCAATGGTGACGTGTTCCTGACCTGGCTTTATAAGCTGTGTGGTAAAGACCAGCTCACCCTCTCCAGTTAGCTCGGCGAATTTAGCCTCCGCCTCTGCAGACCAAGAGGTGTAACCCTCCGGCAACTGGAGAGTGCATTTCTTGGACAAGCTGGGCAGGTTAGCAATCTCTTCGGAAAGCTGCAGGCACTTTGATGTGGTGGAGGTGTTGCCGTAGTCAATGAAGAGCACTTCATATCGGGAGTCAGGTAGCTGCCTAAGCAACTGGGCTCGATACCACAGCTCATCGTCCTCGAAGAGAGCCGCCACAATGGAGCCCTTTTCGAATCGCTCCAATGGCTTCAGTTTGTCCTCATCGCGCAAATACATCTCGATTAGCTCGAGCGCCTTTGAATCTCGTTCCAGCTGAATAAAGAAGTCACAAATTCCGTTTACGTGTGATATGTAGCAGCTGCATCCACTGGTCACATACTCCAGGGGCCTAGCAAATCCATCGGCGATCAATTTCTTGGCCACATCCTCACCCTCGATAAACACATTCACATAGCTGGTCGTTTGGTGATCTCCTTGGGTAAGGTACTCCAAGTGCAGGTTCTTTGTGTATGATTCGTTGAAGAGGCCATTCGCTGCATCCACCCAATCGGCAGTGCCTTTGGGGCAAATGGGGAGTGCACAGGGCAAGCAGAAAGGCTCGATATGTGACCACATGCTCTCCTTGATGTCAGTTGTGTCCGAAACGCAATCCGTGTTGCCAAAGTCAATGAACAATAGTACCATCAGCTCGGCATCCATGATCTTGGCGCGATACCAGCATTTGTCCACCGAGTACAGCGAAATGCAGTCGGCGCCATTGACCACATTCATCAATTGAGGCAACGACGGAGAAACTATCTGAAGGTTTTCCTGCAGTCGATGCAGTTTTTCCAGCCGATCGATGGGATGAACGAAGAAGTGAGCTGGATTGTCGCAATGGCTTAGCACAACGGTTTCCATGTCTTTGTATGGATCTTCTTTTGGAGGCTTCGCTGGCTCTGGAGCGGCCTCTTGGACGACTGGCTTGGCTTCTGGTTCTTCTACAGCGACTGGAACTGGAGTGGGTGGTTTTGGCACTGGCGTTGGCTCCACAGGAACCGGAGTAGGCGCTTTTGGTAAAACTGGTGAAATGGCAGGAGATGGAGCCGACTCCACTGGCTTGCTCTTCTTTGGCTCCCGTTCTTTGTCATTGTGTTGCTTTTTCTTGGGCGAGGCATTTGCCGAGCTCGACTTGCTGTTACTGCCAGTTTCCTTGCGCCCTCTTTCCTCCTCGTCGTCCAATGTGAGGTCCACCGTTTCAATAAACTCGTAAGTGCGCGCCTTTCCCTTCTCCATCTGCTTGCGCATGTAATCGAGATCCTGGCCGGGAATGAGTTTCTCTGCCTTGAGCTGGTCTGTCACACTCTGATTGTTCTCCATTACGACATCGGCAATGAGGTGATTGCGACGCACCTCAATCGATTTGACAGTAACAACCTTCTCCTCTAGAATCTCACCTAGACGCGCCTGTAGTTTGCTTTCGTTGCTGGGACGACCAAGCGGCAAATTGATTTCTACTGCGAAGCCGCTCGCGTGTTCATAAAACTTGTTGTCCAATGCCTTGATATCGTCACGCTTTACTTCTTCCGTGTTGCCGTAATCGATGTAGAACACCTCGATGCGTGCCGCACTTGAATCCTTTCCAGAGATTCTGGCTCTGTACCAGTTGCCATCGGAACTATGGACTGCACATATCTGTCCCGCATCGTATTTATTCAAGGAGTCACCTTTTAATATAAAGCGAAAGAGGTTTAATATAAGTAAAATG